TTTTTTGTATTTTTTAGTAGAGACGGGGTTTCACCGTGTTCGCCAGGATGGTCTCGATCTCCTGACCTCGTGATGTGCCCGTCTCGGCCTCCCAAAGTGCTGGGATTACAGGCTTGAGCCACCGCACGCGGCCTACAATTTTTTTTTAACTAAAACACTTTTTAAGATGTTGGTTTGCTTTTTACTGTTTTGTGAAATATCTTTTATCATAATCTTCATAGTATAGTTATATCATTCTAATCTTATGTTTATTGAATTCTAGAAAATTTGGAAAATACAGATTCATGTAAAAGTTAAAACAAAAATCACTTGTAATTTTTTTCTTTACCTTTTTTTCTTTGAAATGTTGTAATCTTGTTTCTTTTCTTTTTCTTTTTCTTTTTTTTTTGAGGTGGAGTTTCACTCTTGTTGCCCAAGCTAGAGTGCAATGGTGTGATTTCGGCTTATAGCAACCTCCGCCTCCTGGGTTCTGGCGATTCCCCTGCCTCAGCCTCCCAACTGGCTGGGATTACAGGCATGTGCCACCATGCCCGGCTAATTTTTTTGTATTTTTTATAGAAACGCGGTTTCACCATGTTAGCCCGGCTGGTCTCGAACTTCTGACCTCAGGTGATCCTCTGCCTCAGCCTCCCAAAGTGCTGGGATTACAGGCATAAGCCACCATGCCCAACCATTCCTTCTAATACTTGTAATTTCATTATTTACGTGCAACCAATCTTTTCACATATATTGTTACATATTTTCTTTTACACAACTGAATCATGGTTTCAATACAGTTTTGTATCCTTTGGTAATTAACATTTCAGAAATATTTTTCTGAAATATTTAGTGTGATTCCATTTTTGTTAAAAAAAAAAAAAAATGTACACCAGGTGTGGTGGCTCATACCTGTAAGCCCAGCCCTTTGGGAGACTGAGGTGGGCTAATCATCTGAGCCCAGGAATTTGAAACAAGCTTGGGCAACATGGCAAGATCCGGTCTGTACAAAAAATGAAAAAATTAGCTGGGAATGGTGTGCACCTGTAGTCCCAGCTACTCAGGAGGCTGAGATGGGAGGATCACCTGAGCCTCTGGGGTCAAGGCTGCAGTGAGCTATCATCATGCCACTGTACTCTAGCCTGGGCGACAGAGCGTGACTGTGTCTCAAAAAAAAAAAAAATTTCATCTGCATTTAGGATTTTTAGAAAATCTCATCTAGTTAGAAGTACAAAAAATGAAGTTCTTATTTATTTATTTATTGAGATGGAGTCTCACTCTGTCACCCAGGCTGGAGTATAGTGGCGTGACCTCAGCTCACTGCAACCTCTGCCTCCCGCATTCAAGGAATTCTCCTGCCTTAGCCTCCCAGGTAACTGGGACTACAGGCGCATGCTGCCACGCCTGGCTAATTTTTTTGTATTTTAGTAGAGACAGTTTCACCATGTTGCCCGGGCTGGTCTTAAACTCCTGAGGTCAGGCAGTCTGCTCGCCTTGGCCTCCCAAAGTGCTCGGATTACAGGCTTGAGCCACTGTGCCCGGCCAGTTCTGTTGTTTTAATTTCCATTTATTTATTGCAAAGTTTGAACTTTTTATGGTAAGTAGATAAATTGTAGCAAATTAAATTCACAGGACCACCTGGAAAAGGATAAGATGAATACATTGGACATTTTGAGAATGGAGACTACGGAGAGAGAGAATCCAGAAGCTGAAACTGTATCTATGTAAGTATTCAGGAAATAGTAAAGAAAAGTAACTCTTAGGAATGATGGTAATAATTTGTTTTCTACTTAATAAGGTCTGAATTTAATTTTCAAGTGGCATACTTTAAGTTCGTTTTCAACCATAGGTGGTTTTGAAACATTAATAATACTCTCTCTGCTTGATATTGCTTCTATGAATTTTTTAAGTCTGTTGAGTTAGCCATTACATTTGAATGTTTATAATATGTGCTCTTGGATAATTTTATTTATAGTAAGAGATTTTAAAAGGGTATATTTAACTTGAAATGGAAATCTAAAATAGAATGTGAATCTGACTGGTGGATTCTGGGCTGTTCCAGGGGTTACCATTTATACCGTGCTTTGGGACTAATCCCCTGGAGTTCTACAGTATTCTATAGTATCCTTAGTCAGGAGTAGTATTCTATGCTTGACAGATGTAGATTTTTCCAATTTTGTAATAAAATTCTATTTAAAAGTGCTTTTTCAAATGGGCTTTTCAGGATTATGTCTTTTTTTCTTTTTCCTTTTTTTTTGAGATGGAGTCTCGCTCTGTTGAGTAGTGGTGCAGTCTCTGCTCACTGCAGCCTCTGCCTCCCAGGTTCAAGTGATTCTCCTGCCTCAGCCTCCCAAGTAGTTGAGGTTACAGGCGCCCACCACCACGCC